AACCACCGGGGGAAGGTTGCCAAAAACTCTTACAACTTGTGGCTGGGCACGGGCCAAGGACGCCTTTTCTCCTGCGATCCGCAAGCCCCAGTGACACTCACAGCCCTGCTCGAAGTGTACTCCAGACTTTTTATTTGGTTACTGGTGGCGCTCAGGAGGGCGTGTGCAGACTGACGTAAAACCAGCCTGCATTTTGCATGCTCAGACCTGGGTTCACGTTGTCCTAGGCCTTTGGGCTTTTAACGGGTGAGAGACAAGCCATGTCCAGACATTCCCATTTCCTCTGTAGAAACACAGAATAAGGGAAAAGAAAAACAGCCGGTAATTACAAACAGGTGGATGAAAATGTGCACCTTTCAGACTTGATTCTGAGGGACTGCAGCCTTGTCGTCCTGCCTTGTTCTTATGCATTCATGAGGGTTCAGACCTCTTCTTCTCCTCTCCTCCTTATCTTCCTCCTTTCTCCTAGTAAATACCCCTTTACGGAGCAAGAGGTTGCACAGGGGATGGAACAGCCATGGAGGCCTCCCATTGGAGGCATCTCCTGGAAAGAGCTTGGCTTCAGAGGGGCTGCAATTGTAATTCAGAAGGGTGGCTACTGACGTTAACGGGTTGACTTTTTTAAAAAATGGTCAGGATTGATCCCTTGATCCACCTGTTTGTTATGAAGTGTTCTGGTTTCCCTCTCGGACTGTCATGAAGAAGGGAAGACTATTCCAGCAATACTTTCTGTTAATCAAAAGAGAACCAGTCCTTTGTATGAGCAGAGCTGGTCTGCAGCTTGCCTCGGGGAGCCCAGAGGCACGGCTTAGTTCTTGCTGATCAGTGCCTGATCAAATGCCAAATGGTTCGGCTGTTCTGTAAGTCATTTTACTGGTGGATCAGCTGGGCATGATTCTGGGCGTTGAGTCTCCATCAGCCCCTAGTGGGGGCTAGTAGAGCGATGGTGTGGGGGAAAGGGAGCAGACCCAGTGTGGCTTTTGTTCACAACTTGCTTACTGGGAGCAAGCTTTCAGAGAATCTCTAGTTGATGTCTGAGCCAACATGTTTCTTGTGTTTCTCAAACCGTGCCATTCATGGCCGTTGCATCTGGGGGCTCTTCTCAGTGGCAGGCCCTTCCTTCTTTTCTCTTCATTGTCCTTGTCCGCTTCCCCAACCTGGGGTCCTCCAGCTCCCAGAATCCCTGGCTGCCAAGGCCCATGGGAAATCTCACATCTGGAGGGCCCTAGATTGGAGAAGGCCAGAGTGTAGTTGCTCTTGGTCAGTAGAGTCCTGGCCAGCAAAGGAGGAGAAGAAATTGAGGGTGCAGATCTGCAGCGGGAGTCTTTATCTCCCTGCCTGCAGCGTGGCACTGAAGGGTTTCACTGTCCAATATGGCCCTGATTTCTCAGCAAACTCTCTGACATTCAAAGCAACGTTAAAACCCAGAGGAGTCACGATCAGCCGTGGTAGTAGTTTAAGTGCCATCGTGCGGGAAATTCTTCTGCAGAAGCCTTCTGTACAGTGCCTGGGAACAGCGTAGCAATGTGGCTGCTCTTGATCTAAGGCAGGGTTTCCCAACCTTCGCAGCTTTAAGATGGGTGGACTTCAACTCCCAGAATTCCCCAGCCAGCCATCACAGCTCCGTCTGGCGCTCGGAATGCTTGTTTCGCTCCGGAGAGAAACATTGGCAAGACTCAAATGCGTCGCTCAACACCTCCCTCCCCCCCACGCAAGTCAAAGCCACAAGTTGGGGAGGGGGCAGAGGTGTTGGCATCTTCACTTGCCTGTTGGAAATTAACCATGGCCCTGCCTGCTGAGTCCACATTGATACGCTTGGTCCTGCTTTAGGTTGTGTGGAACAAAGCTAGAATAGGACATCAATGTTTTCCTCCCAGGTTGGTTTGGATGTTCCTTCAAATTAGCTTTGGGGTTGGCTTTTTACCTTCGGGGCTTCCCCACGTGCAAAAGCATCTGGGCCCATCCGGCCCCTCCCTCAGGAGATGCCAAGGAGGTGGGGAGGCGCGATAGGATAGGAGCCCAGCGGCGTTTGCTGGAGGGCCCGCCAGCTCTTCCAGGGCGTTGTGCGCAGGAGCGTCTCCCAGCAGGGTGTTGCGAGGCCTCTCGTGTTGCCGCTGCTGTGAGAATGCAATGCGGCTCCTCCAGCTGCCAGGCCGTCCACAGGCTGGGGAGGGCTTTCCCGAAAGCAGAGGGGGCAACCCACGGTCAAAAAGTCAGGAGGGCGTCCGGCAATGCAGGCGATGCTCGGCCAGTTGCCATCTTGACTTTTTGGACCATACTTGCAGACGCTCCTGGGGCGGCAGCTGGCAAAGGTGGCTGTTCCTTCTCGTTCTCCTCGCGCGGGGTTGAAAAGAACCGGTAGAACCCTTGATGAGGGCATTTTATATCTAGCTATCTCTATCTGTATCCGTGCGTGTATTTTATTTAGGCAAGGATAACTCCTGTTTGATTTACCGCTCCTAACTAATATAACTTGACTAAAATAAAATATTAAAATGTTGCTGCAGTGGATTTGCAGGATAAAGCACTTTCGAGACTCAGAATATGTGTGTGTCTTGTGTTCCTTTTTATTCCTTAGCACAGTTCCAGTCGGCTGTATTATTTTATACACAAAAGTGGCGGGTTTGTTTTGTCTGAGTTTATAAACTGCAAGTATTATTTTTGTTATAATTCAGAATAGATATTTAGTATAATGATGTTGCTGTTTTAAATATTTGTTATTTAGTAAAATATGAATGATCCCCCTCCCTTGCTCTTTTTCCTTCTTTATTGCAACCTTGTCTGTCAAGAAAACAATTATTAGCATGGAGCAAGACGGCGGCGGGTGGGCGGGGGCTGTTTTGCGGAAGTCCCTTGGAAAAGAAAGCCTGGAGCGCCAACCTTGCGCGAAAGCTGTGCAGGGCGACTTCCCATTACCCGTGTGGGTTTTTTAATGTTGCAAGAAATGAGCGCCTGTTGCGTGGGGAAATACGTTGGTGCTGTGTGCAAATGTGTCTTGTGTCCTGTGGCTTTTGACGTGTATGTAACGGGGGGTCAGCCCACTCCGGTTCCCTCTTTCCAGCATCCCCATCAACGGAGGAAAAGTCCCAGGGCGTTGCGTCGACATCTCTGCACGGTTCAGGCGCCGTCTGTAAGGTTTGCACAGGGCCGAGGACATCTTGGCGGGTGGACCTGCTCCTGTAACGTGTTGGGGAAAAAATGGGGCGTGTCGTGTGATCTTATTAAAAAAGTAATCTGTGGCCATCTTATAGACTTCCATCATCGTCGTCGTCATCATCACAATAAAAAAAAAATAAAAATGAATTTAATCCCTTTTGTGTTGTTTGTTTTTGGAATTGTACTGTTGCCCAATCACACCGGTAGAATTTAGGCTTCTGATGGGATCGATGGCTGGAGGGTTGACAGTGAGAGATCCAGACTTGGACTGAGGCGGAATTTCCTGACTGAGGGCTCTGAAGCCACGCAGGCTCCGGCCCTGGGAGGTCTTCCAGATGAGGTGGGGGAGCCACGTGTCTGGGGTGGCCCGGGGATTCCTGCCCTGGCGGGGGTGGACTAGAGCAGGGTTCCTCCACCGTGGCGACTTGAAGATGGGTGGACTTCAACTCCTAGAATTCCCCAGCCAGCATTCTGGGAGTTGAAGTCCACCCATCTTCAAGTCGCCCAGGTGGAGGAACCCTGGACGAGAGGACCTCCGCCTGGGACCTCCGACCCAAGGATTCCCTGATTCTCCGAGATCTCTGAAAGGCATCATCTGCGCTTTCAGCAGCGGTACCAAAGCGATCCAGTGTGTTTTTGAAGACAGGCTGTGTTGTATAACCGTTTGATTCCTCACCGCTCCGAGCATCACGGAAGAAAAGGCGGAAGGAGAGCAGAACGAAGGGTCTCCGCCGAGAGTCCGGCAGGAGGGGATGCAACGTCCCCGTCGCCCGTCTTCAGGGCG